CCCCGCCCCCTCCCCCCAGCACACCCTCTCCTGCACCGGCTGGCTCCCTGGGTGGCCCTGAGCCTGCAGGCAGGCTCCACCCATGCCACCTTGCGCCAGCCCCACCACCTGCAATTGGGCCACACCTCCGCCAGCTGCTCCTCCTCTCCGGGCCTCCACCTTCCCATCCGCACCGCTCCCGCTTAGCCCTCAGCCGCCTTTGCCCCTCACCCTCTCTGCCGACCTTCTCCTCTCCCCGCCTTTCTCAGCTCTGCTCAGGCCCTGACTTCTCCTTGGCTTCATAGCGCCCAAGCCTGAGACCCCCCGCCATGGCCCGCCCCGGGAAGCCTGGGGCTGTGGAGGCCCAGGAGGAGGAGGCGGGGGATGAGGGGCGCGCCTCAGGGCCACTGGCAGCGACACTGGAGCAGGCCCAGGAGCTGTTCCTGCTGTGCGACAAGGAGGCCAAGGGCTTCATCACCCGGCACGACCTGCAGGTGAGCTCCCAGCTCCAAGAGGCCTCCCACCCCAGGGCTGACCTTGGCTACTCAGTCTTGCCATCCTTGCCCGGCCAGGGCCTGCAGAGCGACCTGCCCCTCACGCCCGAACAGCTGGAGGCTGTGTTCGAAAGTCTGGACCAGGCGCACACCGGCTTCCTCACCGCTCGGGAGTTCTGCCTTGGCCTGGGTGAGCCCGGCCCCTGAGCCCCACCCCCTACCCCGCTGCTCAGACACCCTCCGCTGGCACATGTGGGACTCTCTGGGGCCCGCAGACCACATGGGTGGCAGGCCGTGCTTCTCCCTGGCCTCCCTCCGGAGCACAGGCTGGTGTCTGTACACTCAGGCACCACGGGAAGCCCCCCAGATGCTGTGGCATATGTGGACATGACCTGCTCCCTGAGCCAAACCCAGGTGGGGCTGGGAGCCAGGCATGCCTCATTTTGGCCTGAGCCCAGCTGTCACCTCCCATTCCCAGGACAAGAATCTGACCAGAATAAGGAAGAAAAACAGGAAACTGGGCTCAGAGAAAGGGCAGGATATGCGGGGGGCGGGGGTGGGCTGGGCTGGGCTGGGGGTGGTGACCCACAGCCCGGTGATCTCTCCCTCCCATGCCCGCAGGGAAGTTGGTGGGGGTGGAGACTGCCCCGGGTGCTCTGCCCTCCCGGGCTCCAGAGGAAACCTTCGAGGCGGGCTGGTCGGGTGTGCGAGGCTCCGGGGGCTCCCTGGAGGAGGAGGAGGACGAGGAGAGATTCTGCTCGGCGCTGGAGCAGCTGGGGGTGGCCCGGGTCCTGGGCGAGTGAGTCGGCGCTGGCCTGGCTCTCGTCACCCTCACCTGCTCTCTGTCCGCCTGCATGCTGCCTGTCCGCGTCGCCTGCGTGTCTGTTCCCAGGCAGGGTCCCTAGGCCGGGTCTGGGCTGCTCCTTCCCTCTCAGCTGCAACTACTGCGTGCAGGGCCTGATTTCCCACAGAGTTTGCATTTCAGGAGGCAGCAGCCAGGGCTGCACCCAGCACAGGCACAGCCCTGTGTACACAAGGACACAACCCCACGCACACACACCTCCTGGCCACACAAGCCCCGCACAGGCACAGACCCCCGCAGGGGTGAAAGCACCCAGGAGAGGGACGCCCAGCTTGTGCAAGACTACGGGGGCCTCTGGGGGCCTCTTACCCTGCAGGGTGGGGGTGGGAGTCCCTGCTTCAGCTTCAGCCTCTGCCCTCCCACCCCTCATGCCCACCCCCTCCCCCACCCCCAGGCAGCGGGCAATTCGGACGCTCTGGACCCAGCTGCAGCGTGAGCGACCCGAACTGCTGGGCTCCTTCGAGGACGTTCTGATGCAGGCGTCGGCCTGCCTGGAGGAAGCGGCCCGAGAGCGGGAGGGCCTGGAGCAGGCGCTGCGGCGGTGAGGGCTGGGGGGCCGGGGGCGGCTTGAGGGCCAGGCGGAGGGGCTCTGCGAGGTGGTAGGGGCGGGGCCGAGGGCTGTACCGCTGGCAGGTTCTAAGCAGCTGTCTCACCCCCGGTTTCCCGAAGGCGGGAGAGCGAGCACAAGAGGGCGGTGCGATGTCTGTACGAAGATATGGAGCGGCAGCTTGGCGAGCAGCGCCGGCGCCTGCGGAGTCAGGTGGGCCCGCAGCGCCGCCCCGCGCCCAGCCCAACCCCGGACGCGCGGGTCTCCCCGGCCCCGCCTTCTCCGAGGTGGTCCCACCCGCGCCCCTGCCGCTCCACCGCCGCGGGGGCTCAGGTGTCCCTGCGCGTCCTAGAACGTCCCCCGGGAGGAGCGGAGAGGCCACCTAGAGCTGGAGCTGCAGAGTCGCGAGCAGGAGCTGGAACGCGCGGGGCTGCGGCAGCGGGAGGTGAGCGGCTGCCCGGCGGTCCCGGCCGGGAGGCGTGCACAGCGGTCCAGCCCAGGCCCCATCCTCACCGTCCCCCATGCTACTCCCCGGCGTCCTTGAGGCCCTTGGGCCTATGTTCCCAGCCCCGGAATTGTTGGGAGTCTGGGGCAAACGCAGCATCCCGGGGACGTGGGGGGGTTCTCTCCAGCCTTGACCCCCCCACACCCCAGTTGGAACAGCAGCTGCAGGCCCGGACCACCGAGCAGCTGGAGGCGCAGGCGCAGAACGCCCAGCTGTGGCTGGCCAACGAGGCGCTGCGGGCGCAACTGGAAGGGGTGCAAGAGCAGCTCCGCAGGCTGGAGAGCGACTTGCTGGGCCGTCGGGAGCAAACCCAACGGTGCGGGGGGCGGGCCCTCAGGGGCGGATCCCGAGAAGGGTCGCGCTTGGAACCCAGAGCTTCCATCCCACCCCGTCCCAGCTTCGCCTCCAGGGTCTCCGTGGGGCAGGGCCCTCCAGGGGGTCGTGGGACACCCCGAGGAGCCTCCCTGCACCCAAATCACCACCTCCATCCTGCAGAGACGTGGTCGCGGTCTCGAGGAACATGCAGAAAGAGAAGCTCAGCCTCCTGCGGCAACTGGAACTGCTCAGGTGCGTCAGGAAGGGGTCAGCCCAGCTCCTAGCTCCCAAACAGTCCCTCTCACTGCCCCATCCCACTGCGAGGAAGTCCTTCCTTGTGTCTGTCCTCCATCCATCATGCTGCAGCCCCAGACAGACACCTCTCTTCTGGTCTGAGGGAGCGCCAGAGCCCGTGCCTGCATTCCCCGCCTAGGAATGCTGCCCCTTGAGACCTCTCAGAGCTTCTGGACTCCTATTCCCCAGGGAGCTGAACACGAGGCTACGAGACGAGAGGGACGTCTGTGAGGCCGAGCGGCCGGGCAGTGGCCGCAGGAAGGCTCTGACCACGGCCCCCCTGCTGGGGCCCGCCTGCTGCTGTTCCTGCTGTTGTAGTAGCTGGGCTCGCCCCCCCAGACGCGGCTCTGGCCACCTTCCCAGTGCCCGCTGACCAGCCCGAGTGACTCACTGGGCGTTACTTGGTTACTCGGAGAGGCTGCCCCTTGAAGGCGACTCCTCGTGGCTGGGGGCTGCCCATCCTGGCTGCGGGTTCTACCCATTTGGCTGCCTGGCCTGCCTGACGTGCAGACGTGAAGGAACTAATCCTGGGTGGTCAGGGTCTCACCGTGTCTCCCTGCCGGTCCTCACCCTACTCCCATCCCATCAAAACCAGCAGAAAACCCCCTCTTCCAAATAAAGTCCACTGACTTCAACCTCCTCAGCCTCCTACGTGTGTGTGGGAGCCACAACATTTGAGAGGTACACGCATGAGATTTCCATCGTCCACGCGTGTCCCCGGTCGTGTCCCCAAGCCCTCACTGTCCGTCAAAGCTGTAGGAACCAAGGGACTGAGGCCACTGGCTCCCAGGAAGCAGCAGGCGGGGTTCCCTGCCCACCCCCAGCCTCAGTCAGCCACCCCCTCCCCATGCCAGTCCTCACACAGTCCTGGGTGGGCTAGCTCAGCCCACAGGAGTCCTGAGTGGAGGCGCCGGGGGTAGGCCTGAGCTGTCCCCCGTGCCCCTCCGCCCTGCCAGCGCGAGCCTCGGGCGGGGAGCTGGGGATGAGTGCTGCCACCGTCCACGGAGAGCCGCTCCCAGCGACTGTGACGCCTCAGGGCCCGCCTGGGACTCCCCTTCCCCTTCTACTCCCGCTCTCAGCTCCCCAGCGCAGCGGGTCGGCAGCCTCTGCCCTCTCTCCTTCACCTCCCCCCACCACTCCTAGGCGATGCCCTCCAAACTGGACTTTCTCTCACACTGACCCCAGGCCTCCCCTCCAGGCCGTCCTCCCAACGGCGCCCAGAGAGGCTCCTGTCTGCATCTGACCGCACCTCCAGAGACTCCCCCCAGGCCCGCATCTGTTCCGTCGACTCCTGCAGCCTCCCGCCCCGCCCCCAGCGCAGCTCCTCC